ATACTATATAAACTACATATTTAATAACAAAATCAAAATAAAAATGACAAAAACTTTTTTTTAAATAACTAAAATTAACATGAAAAAAGAAAATATGAAAATAAATTCAATTCAAAATATAAACAACTATAATAGTTTATCAACACTAAAATATACAGTTTTAATTTTAGTTAAAGTTATTTAAGTATTTAAAGTTAAATGAAATGAAAATTAAAAATGTTTCCATGGCAACTAGCGGAGCAGATAAAAAAAAAATTAGAGCTAATTTCAGTTAACATTTATTTTATTTTAAGTAACAAAAATGTTTTTTTCTTTTTTAATGTTTTAGCTTTAGTTAATGATAATAACGCTAACTGAAAAATGATAAATATTAAAATAAATATTAACTAAAAAATAAATAAAACACATTTTATTTCAGCTAGTCACCAAGGCAAAATTTCTCATTTTCATTTTGTTGACGTTGAAGTACTAAAATAACTACAACTAAATAAATTAAAACTAAAAACTAGACTACATATAAATATATATATTATTATATAGATTATATATGCTATTTTTTTTAAATATATTAAAAATGCAAAATAAGCATTTATTTCTAAGATGAATATAATTCTGAACAATATATCAAGATACTGCAATGTTTATGTTTGCATACCGCATACTGTTTCACATAATACTTCATATTAAGCATGGTACCTAAAATTTAGTTCAAGTAATTAATTATTCTGCATTCATTTGGTTTAAAACTAGTTTTAGCCAGAAAGTTCCTTTGTGATGTAAATGTTCATACATAGAGATTTTCATACATATTGCATTTCTCACAGCAGCAGGTGCCATTGATGTTGACTTTGCTTTACTCTTGACACACAAGAGAGATGGATTTTGCTTTTACTGTCAAATAAACTGAAACTATGGTATATACGTGCTATTATTTCATTCCAAACATATTATATCCCATAATGCATGAGCCGAACCTGCGGTGATGTCTGTCATAATCCGGCCGGTCTTATGGATCTGCAGTCGCGCTCTGGCCTCGCTCAGATAGAGCCACAGCGTTCCCGCGTTATGCTGCAGGTCAAAGGTCATCAGCAGGCCCGCTCTGTTCCAGGTCCTGAACTGCAGAGCGACCGAGGCGCTTTCTCCACCGGAGACCCACGGCAAAGCGAGGAAACTTCCAGGACTGGCGAAGGTCACCGGCACGTCTATGGATTCGGTGCATGTAAAGCTGACGTTCCCCTACGAGAGACAAAAAATACTGAGTAAAACCAAGAGCATTTCTCATTTGCAATAGTGAAGCACCACAGTCATGATGTCTGCTTCATAAATTATGCATTTGCCTTCCTGGCTATTATCTTGAAACCAATGTCACGGCCATTACGACAATGAATTAAAGGGCTGGTAACTGGTTTAACCCCCAAATTCCCAAGACAATGGTTGTAAAAAAAGAAAAAACCCTGTATAATGGAGGAGAACATAGTAAGGGTAACGGAAACACAAAGCTCTCATTATGGAAAAATTAAGCAGCCAACATCTGACAATTGCTAGCAGGCCAAATAAAGCAGCTGCAGACGTGACTGTGTTCACACACTAACTCTGATGGAGACCTGCAGCTCTTCGGCTCGCTCGATCACACTGATGTCGTTGTAAAGCACGTTTTCCAAGCAGCCGTTGAAGTTTCTTCTGGAGTGGGATTTCTGGAGTCCAGCTGCTGACGCTCCGCCGAAACTGATCTTGTGAAAGAACGACAGATTCATGTCAGAAATCACACGTATTAATGGAGTGTTATGAAATTAATAGAAGCTAAACTCCATTGACAGACTGTCGTAATAAATTATTTAATAATTTATATTTACTATTAATGCTATTTTCAACTTTTATATACCTTTTATGACTACTATTTACTGTAACTGTTTCCACACATATACAGTTCATGAATATAATTTATTACTTTTTATTAATATTATTATTTCTTTTATTTATGACTATTATTTTTGCAATCATTTTTATGTAAAGCACTATGAATTACTATTATGCATGAAATGTGCTATATAAAGAAACTGGCCTTGTATTGTGAGACTTTGATAGTTTACTGTAATATAAGATGTAAGTGTTGATATAAATAAATGAACAGTGTGTCAAAACAAAGTGAAATGCTCAGAAATATAGTGAGATCTAATTCCAAAAAGACGTTTTCATTCCAGTTGATTTATGTTGTTTGTATAATTCAGGTGTTTTGTGTGAGTGGTTTGAAATGCTTTACTGGACTAATTGAGCTGGAGGTGGTTAGTGGCTCACCTCGTTAATCTCAGAGTGACTCCAGGACTCGGGCAGCTGGAACTGCTGTGTGTTTTTGTCCACGGTGAAGTTCACCAGTCCTCGAACCCGCTCCACGCTGACGTGATGCCAGTGCTGATCGTCCAGCAAACTGCCCAGAGACACCAGAGGGTGCAAATCAGCCGACGAACCCCCTGAAACACAGATCAAATGCTGGTTAGGACGGCTTGATAAAGCTACAAGTTTGGTTACTTTAAAATGTATTTCGACAGAAACTGACATTAGAAAATATGCAATGATCAGCAGTATTTCTTAGATTTTAACATGCAGGTCATGAAATAACAATGTAGCTGTTTGAAACATTTACTGCACATAATTTCACATAAACATAGGTTATATAGCATATACTGTCCAGTGTGCAGTAAGCAGCATGTAAGTATTCATTTACGAACACAGCCAATTTAATAGAGTGACAAAGAGAGATAAACTTGAGATGTTTTATCTGGCTACTAATAATAAACAAGCAAATAATTACACACTTTTCCATAAAACAATGTATAATTTAAGAAACAGACTAGAGACTGTAATCAAAAGATGAAATGCATCTCTTGCAAATTGTGATTCTTTGTGTTAATGTTAATGTTATTATTGTAAATTACTTGAACTGAAGTGAAATATTAAAAATAAATAAATAAATGAAATCAAAAATAAATGTGGCATTGGCAACTGAAATAAAATAAAATGTATAATAACTAAAATTTAAAACAAGAGTTAGACATTTCAGTACTTCAACTTCAGATCTAATATTTATATATATTATACAATATAAATAAAAATAATAAATACATTAAATAAATATACATTTATTTAATAATTAAAATAAATTATTGAATAAATTGAATAACAAAACTAAATAAAAAATAAAAAAACCTAAGTTAAAGTACTAAAATTACAACAAAAAAAATTCAACTAAACAGGAATTTACAAAATAATATAGTTTTTAATTAAATATTTAATTTAATATTTATAATTAAATAAATAATACATTTACATTTTACATTTACATTTAGTCCTTTCTGATGTTGTGCAATGCAAACCTGCAAGATCGAGCGGTATTATCTATAATACAAATGACAAAATTAAAAAGCACAATTACTAAAACTTAAACTAAAATTAAAATAAAGCTAATTCAAAATCTGAATAAATACTACAATATAGTTAAAGTAATATTAAAATAACACATCATACTGATTGTCATAAATGAATATCAAACACAACACTGCTGCAACAAACCTGAGTTCAATTAACATCAACGAGACGATCTGCTAAACTCTCAGAACGTGCGACGACTGTTTGGTGTAAAACGGCAACACTTTTCACAGCCTCACAGACTTACTTATCACCTGCTTAAACTAGCTCCAGATCTGTGCGATCAACTGTGGCGTGGGCCATGTTTAGACCTGCTTTAATTCACACTGACACGCGGACAGCCAAATCATCACACACTTCTGCTGGGTGTCTCTATGGTTACTTTAACTGCTGACATATATTTGGGAGAAAAGGCAAGTGAAATGTTTCCTCTGCATAATCAGGATGAGTTTCAGGTGACAGCAGTCAGACAGACAGCAGGGTTTGTTTACAGCGCTAAGACGGATCTGTAGGATGCCGGATCATGATTATATGAATACATTTAAGGAAAATAGTTTGCAACTTTGGAACTCTGTTGGGTCCCTACTTATGTGACATACATAAAAAATAAAAAACAACAACAAAAAGTAAAAAATGATGAATAACATTTATTCACATCTGGCCATCTATCCATCTATCTATCTATCTATCTATCTATCTATCTAAAAATGAAATAATTATATTATAATAATATAATAAAAATTATATTATACACACAGATTATGTACTATTAGTATTAATAATAATTACATAATAATAATACATAATCATTACTTAATTAGATGTATATATGGGGGGAAATTATATAAAAAGTAAATATAAAATATTTATCTAATTCTATAATTTTATACTAGGTGTGTACAAAATGTGTATTAAGTGATTGTTTCACACTAGTTTCATGTTAACTCATGTTTTAGTCTCATATTTTTGAAACCCGATGTCCAATCAAAAATTCCGGGACACTTTTACAAAGCTAACAGAAGAGGACAGGCATTTCTGGCTTTTTCATTGTCAGATGATGACAGATTGACAGTGTTGTATATGATTTTTCGTTAATCAGAGCCGCACTTCAAACACATGAGTATGACTGTCATACGAGTGAATGCGAGAGATCAAGGCTGGGCTGGTTTTATTCTGCTGATCTTCATGCTTTCTGAGAAGAACAAAGATCATAAAATATTAAGCAGTGGACCACTAAATTCGTGCATAAAAACAAAGCAGAGCCTGTTTATATTCTGATGGTAACTGACCAGCGCTCGTAACTGATGAATAATTGATAGACATGTTGCGTGCCATAAACATAAAATAAATGCATTAATAGTATTAGGTATTAGGTTCATCTTAAATTGCACGGAGTGGCTGATGAACACGATGCAGGATGACTCACTGTGTGATGCAGTCTATTAGAATGCAGTTATATGCACCTATAATTCAAGATATGAGGCAAAAAAAAAAAAAAAAAAGACGCTGTATGGGTTTTTATCTTATATTTATATAATATTGATATAGTTTAGCAATCTCACACAAGCAAGTGCTGTTTTTCCCAATACATTTTAATACAATTTTATACAACAGTTCAATAAACAAGAAGTTAATAGTGTGTTAAATTTTAGACACATTATTGTCAATATTGTCTGTTTTGCTGAATTTTTATTAGATTTTTTTTCTAGCTTTATTTTTTACTTCAGTTTTACTGGTTTAAAGTTTTTACGATTTCCCCCTAATATTTATATTTTATTTCAGCTTTATTTCAATTATATACTACTTATTTTAATTATACATACACACACACACACACACACACATATATGAGCGTGACAAAAAAAATTGAGCTAATTATTATAAATAAAATTAAAAATAAAATAAAATTCTCAGACAAAATGTAAAAAATTGAATTACTAATTATTATAAATAATTTGAATAATTAGTCACATATATGAAAAAAATTGAGCTAATTATTATAAATAAAATTAAAAATAAAATAAAATTCTCAGACAAATCAGACAAAAAAACTTGGTAACTAACGAAATTAAAAACCTAATAAATTAAAGCTTAATATAAACATTTTAAATAAAAATGACACAAGCACATAACAAAATGACTAAAACAAACAGAAAAAAATAAAAATAAAAATGTTAACAAATACTATAATAAATAATAGTAAAATAACACTAATGAAAGTCAACGGAATCCAAAACAGCATTGGTTCTCATTAACTTTCAAAAAACCTTCAAAATATCTTTTGTGTTTTTACAGAAGAAAGTAAGTCAAACAGTTG